TATCAAACAATGCCAACTGAACGTAATCAGCCGGATAAGTTCAAAAATATTGATTTAACAATACCACCGCGAACATCTCAAAGAGTAAAAGTTCCTGTCAACAAACGAAACGGTCAATACCTCTTAGAATATAAAAATTTTGGTAAAATGGAAATGCCAGCAGCATTAGTAGAAGTCAATAGCTACCGTGCAAACACAGTAATAACGAATTCTTGTGAAAATCTCGTGATAATCCAAATGTATTCCCCATTAAATGTAGAGCCAATTGAAAAAACTGAAAATAACTTTTTAGAACAAAACCCTTTCAATAACCAAATTGACAATCTTCAAAAAGCAAATCTCAAAAATCTACGTTTAAAGCATTGTAGCGAAGAGGAATACAAAGCTATTCGGACACTATGTTTTGAATATAGAGACATTTTCTATTGTGAAAATACACCATTGATTTTCACAAATCAAGTTAAACACAAAATAAATTTTACGGATAAAACACCAATTTTCACGAAAACTGATCGTTATCCATTCATACATCAAACAGAAGTAAATTCACAAATTTCCAAAATGTTCGAAAACGGCATAATTCAAGAATCCACTTCTCCACGGAGTGGTCCAATTTGGGTTGTACCAAAAAATTAAACGCTTCAGGAAACAAAAAATGGCGCATCGTGATGATTATAGAAAACCAAATGATAAAACTATTAACGATAAATTTCCTTTGCCAAAGATCAACGACATACTTGACAAATTAGGTAAAGCACAATATTTTACGGCCTTCGATCTAGCGAATGTTTTCCACCAAATAGAAATGGAATATTCATACATTCAAAAAACAGCTTTCTCTGCTGATACAGGGAATTACGAGTTCACTCGAATGCCTTTTGATCTGAAAAATGCCCCATCTACATTTCAACGCGTAATAAACTATGTCTTAAGAGGAATTCAAAATGAATTTTGTTTAGTTTACTTAGACGAGATAATAATTTTCTCTACCTCTTTACAACAACATATCGAGAGACTAAAATCTGTTTTTGAAAGGTTAAGACAGTCAAATTTCAACACGCTTCAAACATTGCACTAGGAGCAGGAGTTTCCCAAGGCACACCCCCAAATGATCACCCAATTGCATACGCGTCTCGAACACTAAATGAAACTGAACAAAAGTATTGAAAACCATTGAAAAAGAACTTCTAGGCATAGTCTGGGGATGCAAATATTTTCGACCCTATTTATATGACGGAAAGTTTGAAATCTATACGAATCACAGATCTTTAGTATGGCTATTCAATCTAATAGAACCCAATAGTAAATTAGTACGTTGGCGACTTAAATTAAAGGATTACGATTATAAAATAAGCTATAAAAAAGAAAACAAAATACAAATGCGGGTGCTCT